GTGATAAATATTTGAACATTCAGAAATTGTCTTTTTTTTTGGTTATTATACCTAAATAATATGTATTATTATTATACCTAAATGTATACAGTTAAATTATACAGCTAAATAATATAGCTCTTTACATAATGTTTACATTGTATTAGGTATGATATATAGGAGGAAGTATACAGAAGGATGGACCTGGGCTATATGCAAATGTTATGTCATTTTAAATAAGGGGCTTGAGCATGCATGGAGTTTAGTGTCTGAGGGAGTCATGGAACCAATCCTCACAGATATCAAGGGTAGAGTGTGTTAATGGAGTAGGGTTAAGTGCTGGTGCTCTGTGTGCTAAAGAGTGGGAAGAACATTCAGGTTGGCTTCTCTCCTCCTGGAGAGAAAGACAGTGCGATATTCAGTCATTCACAACACGGGGTAAGTTAAGTCTGCTGCAGAGGCCAAGTAGTCCCTCAGTTGATCTGATGTCCAGCAAATGCCTTCCAAGAAAGTGATCATGAGGTTGAACCAGTGTGGTCATGGTGCTTTCAAGGCCTCCTTCCTAGCCATTTGCTGGCTGAGGCTGTTCTCCTTTCAGGCTTGCCGGCCTTGCTTCCTCCTGGTCTCGGGGTTGGCAGGGTGAGTGTGTACACTGTGGTCCTTGTGCTCGTGTGATGTATGCGCCTTTAGTTCCTATTCTATGTAACATGCACCATGAAGGCAGAGTCCACATATTATTTTATGTGGTGGGCCCAGTGCATACTGGGTAGTGAGTGCCGAGAGAAAGACTTACTGAATTCCCCTGAATTCCTTCACCTTGCTGTCTCTCTGCTCAATGCCTGACTTCCAGCCCTGGAGGCACCTTGCATCTTTCTCACCCTCTTTGTCTGGTCAGGCTTTCTGTGTTGCATCTATGTCCAGATTCCTTACTGATTCTGCTATCACTTTGTCCCTCACCTTACTCCATTTGGACCCTATGACCACTCCTCAGATGGCTTGTTCATGTTTACTCCTCAAACAGAATGAAGAGACTACATTTTCCATTCTGAAAACAGAATAAGTACTACCTGTAAAGAGGCATCTGTTGCAGGAGGTAAGTGCTCTTAATGATGCCTTCTCCCAAGTTTGGTGTTTAGGACAGGATTATTTTTTTATTAGGGAATAAAGCAAGAAAGAAGTCAAGAAAAGAAAGAAAAAGAAATCAAACAAGCAAGGAAGGAAGGAAAAAAGGAAGGAAGGAAGGGAGGGAAGGATAAAAGAGACCTGAAAGAAAGAACAAAGAAACAAAGAAAGAAAGAAAAAGGGAGAAAGAAGGCAAGCAAGCCGTATACCCCAGTTTGCTTCTTTATTTACACTGGCTTCCAGGAAGCGCAGATTTAGGGTCAGTGTTCATGAGGAGCAACTGTCTTTAGATCATGTTTCTTATAGAATTATAGAATTATTTCCCTCCATTATCTGAGTATGTTCTGCTTATTTTTTGAATTATAAAAAGAAGCAATTAACTTGAAGTGTTTATTTACCTATGTACAGTAGTCAGTATCAGAAAAATGTAACTACATTAGAAGAAAGATTTAGGATCTAATTATATTTTCATATGGGATTATGCCTTCTGGTTCTCTAAATTTATTTTAAATTATGGGTTCATTGCAGCACCTTAATTCAAGAAGTATGTTATAATAATTTTTCCTTTCTTCCTCTCCCTCTCATTTTTCTTTCCTGTAAAATAAGCTGACTTGGTTGACTTATGTGCTTCAGTTCAGCTTGCTAAAGCTATGTTCAGCCACCTTGGGTATCAAGGGAAGAGGGAGGGGAAGGGGAGAGGCGGGAAGGGATGGGAAAGGGAGGGATTTCCTTTCTGAGCAACCTCCTCATTTACAGTCCTCTCAAGTCATGCAATTTCCATTTTATAAGTGAAGAAAGAGGCTGGCAGTGGTTAAATGACTTGCCCCAAATCTTATTTTTCTGTTTGGAGAAGCCCAACAAATGCTTATTATTTCATTATCCCATTCCATCATCCTTGAAATCTCCTGTTCCTCTTTCTGATTTGAGATAACAGCCCTGTTATCTGCTCCTAGCTGCACAGGAATCGTCTGTATTCTCCTCTCCCCACCCCCAGTTTAACTAGGTGTCTGCTTCCAGCTTGTTCTGCCTGTTTAATAATTTCACCCTCCTCCCCATTCCCATCACTGACACCAAAGTCAGGGCCCACATGCTTTGTGCTTGGGACCATTTCAATAATTGCTTTGCTGTTATTTCTGCTTCCAATTTTCTCCCACTCTGGCTCTTCCCCTATATGGCTGCTTTGTGATATTTTTCAATGGTAAATCTAACTTCAGCTCCTCTGATGTACTCGTTCGCCCTCCAGGGAAAGGCCCTTCCCAATTCTGTCACTGTGCCTTTCTCCCCTGACAGTCATCGCCCTGTGTCCTCTTTGCATTCCACACACCACCCACTCTGAGTGGCTGCAGTCCCCAACAGTCACGGGTTTTCATGCTTTTCATCTCTGTTTACTCTTCGCTTTTCCTGGAAGGCTCTTGGATGGTGGCCATCTTTTCTCCTTCAAGACCTATCTGGACTTTCTATTCTCATTTCCTGTACCCCACCTCTCAGTGCTAGGCATCACCTCCTTCCTACTGCTTTCCCTTGGATGGACTCATGTAAAACCATTCACCATGCCAGGCTGTGACTTTCTGGTTTTAATATCTATATTTGACTAAATGATTTGTCATTTCATTGATTTCACAAATTTTGTTCTTATTGCATGCCTAGTGTTTAGCTCTAAGCATGTTCTTGATGACTGCATACTTTATTTCCTCCTTATTCACAGGGCTATGTTCACTGTAAAAATTTTTTGATGAAGGGTAACATTGCTTGGTCCATCATAGCTGCAGGTGGGTAAAAAATGAGTTAGTTGGTAAATGGAGGATGGTTTTTAAAAGTCTTGTAAATCCAGAAACACTCAGCCTTGAACTGTTTCCTTTGCAGTAACCATTAGTGTTCATTGTGAATAGTAGTCACAGGATTTTGAGGGCCAATTAGTTACCCTTCTGCCTATGATTTCTGAATAGTATTGAAATAGGAAATAAGATAACAGCAGACTTGATTGGTTTTATTTCAGGCAAAACTGAATTGGAGAACATAATTTGGAGGTAAGGATAAGACCAGGCTTCCTGCTTCACTTCTGCCTTGGATATCGCTGATTTGCTTGGGTTTAGATAATGTGGGGAGCAGGATCCTGGCTTGCAATGATGGGCTCACTGCATGGGAGAAAGGTTTGGGTGGTCTCTGAAGAGAAGGTGGGTTGGCCACCCGTGGGAGGCAAGTCTCTGCCTTACTAACACAGAATGAAAGAACAAAGAACAACATTATACTCTTAGGCCTAACCAGTCTGTGGAGAGGTGGGAGAATGCTCTCCCACAGTCCTGGGTTCCACCCACAGGAAATGAAATCAATGTGTCAAAGAGATACCTGCACTCCTACATTTACTGTAGTACAATTCACAGTTGCCTGGATGTGGAACCAATGTAGGTGACTACCAAGAGATGAATGGGTAAGAAAAAGGTGGTGCACATAAACAAAAGACATATACAGCTGTAAAAAGGGTGGAATCCAGTCATTTGCCATAACGTGGATGGGACCGGAGGACATGCAAACGAGCCAGACAGAGACAAAGGCCACATTATTTCATCCATATGTGGAATCTAAAAAATGGCTCTTAGATGTTAAGAGTAGAATGGTGGTTACCAGAGAGTGGGAAGAGAGTGAGCAGGGAAGCGAGACTAGGACAGATTGGTCTAAGGCTACAATCTTATCATTGAAAGGGGGTAGGTCCTGGTGTTCTCAGGCATAAGAGGGTGAATAAAGTGAAAATCAACTGTGTGCTTCTGGGTAGTTATAAGATTTTGAATGTACTTTCCATACAGAAAAGATAAAAATTTAAAGTGATGGATAGGCTAATTAGCTGATTTGCTCACAACCAAATGTATACATCAATTAAAACAGCACACTGTATCTCCGATGTGTATCATTATTATGGGAATTGTGGGAATTCTTCTTTTCACAGATGGGCTTTGGTAATTCTGTGTAAAAAAATGCTACTGCTCTGTGTTTGCTTTCTCTCACCTAGCACTTAGCACTTTATCACAGTGCCAGTACTGGGTAGAACAATAGATGCTTCTTCCAACAAAAGACATGTTTATTACTAACACTGGAGCTAAATGATGAGGGAGCTGGAACTGGGCAGCCAGGCGTGAGTGCTCTGGGAAGAATGACCCTGTGACTGACTAAAGCTGTAAGGGATTTTTCCCTGTGATTTATGGGGCACTCTGGACCATGTTACCGGAAGCCCAGCCAGTCTTTAACTGCCCACCCTGAAGGCGATAAAGAGCAGTCACCTGGGTGCACCTGCAGCTTTCACAGGTGGGCACTGTGGCCCACGTGGCAATACATTCTGAATGGGCGGACATTACTGTCATCCCATCAGTGCTTGACTTTTACCACCCAGATCCAGATGCTGCCCACAGAGGAACTGACCAAAGAAAACTCCACTGCTGTGCTCTGAGTCGGAATTTATTCACAGCTGGATTTATTTCGTTGTCTCTTAATTTATTTCAGGTCAGTGGGTCTGCATTGTTTCACTGCTAACTGTGTTTCCTCCAAGTTGTGATGTGTTTAATTTGCCCAGGTCTATAAATTATAGAATGGTAAGGAATTAAGGATAGAGGAAGTTGTGGTCAGGAGGCAGCAGTGTAAGATGAATAGATTGTAACTTTACACAGTGAGCCTGATTTTCTTCGTGAACCAAGATGGTGTTTTTTTACACATTTTTAATGGTGTGCGGAGCATACAGTAACTAAGCAATAGTGGAGAGTCTTTTAGGTCACCAGCTCCCAAATAAATGTGCTCATAAGCCACCCAATACAGCAGGCATGGGTTGGACTCTCAGATGTCTGATTTCTCATAAGCCCTTGGTGATGCTAATGATGAACGTTAAGTTACCAAATCAAAACAACAGCTCCTGATCTCATTATAATTAATTTTATTCCACAGCATGTGTAAGGGAATGTTATTCTCAGGAAGATGTTTGGGATTAAAATAATTAAAAAAAAACCCTGGAAAGTACACACATTTATGTATCTATTCTTTTCATTAAATATATATCTGTTTGGCAAAAAATGTTAGACTCTTTTGTACAAAAACAAAGCAAAAAAAAAAAAAACCCAAAACCCTTGCAAATTGCAAATACCTATAATAATTACAACGATGTAAACTAGGATGTCTGAGAGCGCGACCATCCCATGGAACCTGTTCTGCAGCAAGGCCCCCAGGAGGAGGTGACACCTAACTCTTGGATAGCGACAGCCCCTCACAGAGGCTTTTAGGCTTAGTCTATTAGGGACGGAGCATGACTACTGATTGCATTTGTGCTTTCAGCTAATAGGCTGGGAGCAGGTGTGGCATGAAGAAGGCAGGTCCAGGTTGGGGTAGGGAGAGGAACCCCAAGACTGGCTGGTGTGGAGGGGAGGTCGGGCACTGTCACAGTGCACACGCGGAGAGGGCACGGGCTCTGTGGACTGTCTGGGAGATCCAGTGCCTGCGAGGACTATGATGAGGTTGTTGCTACTGCTTTTGGGGGCTGCAGTGGACCAGGGCAAAGCCAAGGCAAGGACAGGGAGGGAGATCTGGATGCAGATCTGAACTCAGATAGAATCGGTGGTACAAGTTGGCCCTAAAGAAGGCAAAGGGGACATGATGTTTGGTCTTCTCATCAAGCAGCTAGGCCATTTCTTCCAGACCCAGTTGTGGGGCCATTCTTCTTGGTGTGGTGGGCAAATCTGGCACCAGCCTGGAACTGCTGGCTTTCCTCCTCCAAGAAGGAAGGACGTGCTGGCCAGGGATTGGGACAGATGGTTCCTTGCCTCTTTTATTAGGTGGGTTTTGCGTTTGTCCTACCAGTGATCTGCAGCAATGGGAAGCAATCTAAAGCAGTAAGTCTATAATCAGATTCAAGGAGGTTGGCAAGGAGCCAGGATGGGGCTGAAAACGCCAAGGGAGACCAGAGGAAGGATTGACTTGCAGCTTCCCTTTACCAAAGACAATTCCAGGATGCACCCACACTTCTGGTCCTCTCTCCTGTTAGCTAGATTTTTCCAGTTTAGGGGGAGGGGCATGTCTGGGCCCAGCCACCTCAGTTACAGTCATAGACGAAGTCATAGTTGCTGGGCTCCTTGGGGATTGGTGGGGGTGCATCGGGGATCTGGATGTTTTCCAGGTCCAGGAGGCGGAGCTTGATTTCCATGCTGAGCAGGGTGTCCAGGTCATTCCGTGTGAGGTCACTCATCATGTCTTTCCCGAGCAGTGCATTCAGTCCATCGGTCCAGATACAGTACTGGTGGGAAAGGAGGTGACAAGGATCATGACTGAGGACAATCACAGGAGTAGTAAAAACAGCTAGAGCCACCACTTAACAAATACTGAATGTGTGCTAGGCTGTTTTTGTACACTTTTGTTTAATATTTATAGCCTCTTGATAAAGTGACACTTCTGTGATCATCTCTGTTTGAAGGTCACAAACTATGGTGAAAACAAATTTTAAAAAAAATTATTACAGTAAAAGACATACTGTTATGAATCCCTCTCAAACCCTCCCCCATGCCTTAAACACATTGATCCCATTCTTCTTGCCATTTTCCACAGTTCTGGAAGTTCTCTTTCATGAGTGTCTTTTCATGGCTGCCTTGATATCCTGAATCAATTCAAAGCATGTATGGCAATTTCTGTAAAATAAAACATGCCTTGTCCTCTCTCATCTTATTCACTGGATCTGGCACCATATGACTTCTGTCTCATGCCCAAAGTCAAAATGACCATGAAAGGCCAACATTTGAATTGATTCAGGACACTGAGACCATCTTGACAGCACAACCAAAGAAAGCCCTCTGAAAGAGGACTTCCAGAACTGCTTCTGAGAGTGGCAGAAATGATAAGTAAGTGTATTCAAAGTAAGGGGAAAGATTTTGAGGGAGATTCATGATAGAGTGCCTTCCCTTGTAGTAAGTTATATTAATTTTAATATTCCCCATATTTTGTGATCACACCTCATACAAGTTAGGGAATGAAGGCATAGAGGAATTAAGGTATATAGTACTAAGCGGAGTGGGTGGGATTTGAACTTAGATCAGCTGGTTCCACAGCCTTGCTTTCCCATGCCAAAAAATCTCCTTATATACCAGAATAGGATTTCTGTCCTCCTGACTGCACAGTAGTATTGCCAAGAGCTCACGGGTGAGTCTGTGGCTTTAAGGCATTGGTATAATATATCCCAACCCGCCTGCACTCAGCATCAGGCCAGGCTTGCTTCCTTCTTCCTCCAATGATAGTTCCCAGTTTAACAGCTGATGTCTGCCTGTCCTATCTGACTTTCAGCACACACAATGTCAGCTCTGTCTCACCCTGGGGCCAATGGTGCTCTCTCTGATATATTTCTCAGCACAAAGGCTAGGAGATAACCTTCAGTTACACAGTACACAGTGTGTGGTGGCCAAGATGGCTAAAATTCCTGGGTATGGGATTAAGATTAAGATGGCTTGGCTGCTTGTGTGGGGAACTCCTTTCCTGCCTAGGTCTCCAGTGCCCAAGGATTCTCTCTACTAGTTTTCCCGTCCCCTATCCCTTGGGACATCCTTTGCTTGGAAAACCCTCAGAGCACCCAATGAAGAGTTCTGTTTTTTTCTTGCAAAAGCAGTGGTAACTTTCTGCCTCTCCATCAGGCTATGAGCTCCTGGGAGAGGAAGGACTATGCCTCATTTATCTGAGGATCTGCTTGTTCTTGCCAGCATCCCTCCGAGAGCATGGGGGTCCTGGTCTGACCTTGAAAAAACCCTGAGGCATCACACCTGATGAAAAAGGAGTTCTGTCGCTGGCATCTCAGGAAACCGCTTGCCTTTTGGAGACTCTTCCTGCTCACCTGTTGGGTTGCCCCTGGTCCTACATGGCCTCTCTGAGAGCAGTCACTTTGTTTCCTTCCAGCACGTGCCCTAGGTTCCATTCTCCTGGCCTCACTGGGTCAAGCTGCAGTTCCAGGCCTTACCTAGCCTGTCCTTTGCATTGGCACTGCGTGGTCTCGGTAGAGGAGCATGACAGCCAATTTCACTACAGTACTAAATGACTAGAAGCATTATGTCGATCTTGGGTCCCTCGGATATGGTGGAGATCTGCCATGATGCACGCAGTGGCATCATGTTGTAACTTGAAGAGGTGACCTTGGGTGTATAATTAGCTTCACGTCTGAGGATTGCAGCACTGAACTAGAAGGCTTTGGTTTTTCCTTGGGTGCATGAGCTCAGCCAAAGCATTTAGCCCATCTAAACACAGGCTGGTGCTAAGGGATTTCTGGAAGCACTAGTGTCCTCATGAGCGCCTCAGCCAGATTCTGAGCATGTCTAACCATCTGTTTCCTCGTGAATAACCTAAATAGAAATAGATACCTAGTTCCTACCCTAGAGATCCTGCTTTTGTCCATCTGGGATGAGAAAACTTTGTTAATAAAAGCACACCTGTAAATCCTAGCACTCTGGGGGGCTGAGGTAGGAAGATGACAAGTTCAAGCCCAGGCTGGGAAACTTACGGTAATCAGTGAGACTGTTTCAAAAGAAAACATAGGGCTTGGGTTGGCTCAGTGAAAAGGCCCTCAGTTCAGTCCCTAGTACTGCAAAATCAAAGCCAATAAAGCTTCCCAGACTATTCTGATGACCATCCAGGTACTGGTACCACTCAATACCATGCTCTGAAAGGCTCTGTCAGCTTTGACATTGTTTGACAGTAAATCCCATGTCCTGGGATTTTCTGTCCTTTGTATACATATCCTTCCTGACCCGGACCATTTCCTGGTCCAAATTAATTGAACCCACAGAAGCATTTCTTTTGACAAGCAGCAAGCACAGAACATCTTATTTTTTCTATGTTGACCAAAAAATACAAACTCTTAGTACTAAATGTGAGTTAGAATTATCAGTATCAACTCACAATAAATTACATAGTTTATCCCCTAAATCGTAATCCTAGTTCTGTCCCTTCCCAAAGAAGGCCTAAAAATAATGACCAAGTGGCCTAAAAATAATGACTAAGTGCCAAAAAGAAAAATGACCATCTGTATACCTTATGTCCAGATTCTATTTGCTAACTACTATGTCCTATTAAAGGTAACCTGGGCTCTGTAGAGAAAATGCAAGATGGACCTGGAGCACCCATCCTCCCAGAATGCCATGAGGTTATCAGACACGTCAGAATCAGGTCATGAGGATACATAGGCCACCTTGATCGGTCCTTGTTGCCCCAGAGAGATAATCTGGACACTAATAATAATAATAGCTGCAATATATTGAGACAAATATGCTTAAATCCATGACTCTGCAATGATACTCAAATAACAACTTCTTGGCCTTCTTTGACACATACTTATTATTTTGAAAACTGATACTGAGAATCAAGTTATTTGATTATCATATATTTTGTGTAACTTTAGGGTAACCAAAAAGTCAGTGAAGTCACTTCCTTTTTCTTTTTTTTTTTTTTAGCATCTCTTTTTATTTTAAACAGAATAAAAAATAAGAAAAAAAATTAAAAGTGTTACAGAATTTCAAAACAAGATGATAGGAAATCAACAATGGTTGTTATATTGCATATTGTTATCCTCAAAGTAGTTGTTCAGATTACCAGACATAAGCATGTAAAATTGTTAAAAAAATTAAGCTTTAATTGTTCCTTTCAATAAACCAACAGAAATTAGTAGTACAAGTATCTTAGCTATTGTGTGTGTAAATTTTTTCCCTTCTTTTTTTCTTTTCTCTTTTCCCTAGCAGTTCCTTTCCTTTTCACAATATCTATTGTACATTTTGGATTTTATTTACTCTTTCAGTTTCTTACACTAGGGAGGCAATTCGATGTTTACATGCGGGTCTGATTCATTTCACTTATGAGTATGATCTCTAGTTTCTCTTTCTTAAAATTAGCCTTCAGCAATCTATAACAGGTTGAAGGATCTAGACGATGATTATCAGTAGATGCTAACTATTAAAAGAAAGAGGGAAGAAGATAAAGTTTAAAAAAACCCTGATATTGCTTATGCATACAAATTGAACCTGAATTTGGTTGGTTTTCTAATTAGTAGTTCTGGGGACAGACAAATACATGAAATGATATTGCATGCTGTGGTGGAAAGAAAACATCCACCTGTCTAAGACGTCCACATCCCATCTCTTGGAGTCTGTGAAAATGCTAGGTCATCCTAGGCAAATGGAATTAAAGTTGGCACCAGCCAACCTTAAAATAGAGAGATTATGTTGGATTACCCAGATGGCTCCAGTACAATCATGAGGTCCCTTTAAAGTGAGGAAGAGGGAAGAATCAGAGAAATGAGAAGCAAAAGGGAGATTTGCCTATGGAAAAGGAGGTCAGAGGGATTTGATGAGAGGGTTCCAGCCTCTGCCACCTGAGTGTCAGCTTGGGGAGAACTGTATCATGTTTTTGACCTCCAGAATTATAAGATAGCATCTTTGTGTTGTTGAAAATGAACACTGAGTGTGTGGTAGTTTATTGCAGCGGCCACAGGAAGCATACACAGAGCTGAAATCACCACCATGTAGACTGGTGACAGTGTTATCAGAGTAATTGTCTGGGTTTTTCAATGCATAACTTGCCAGGAAAAAAGCACATGCACAAGGTTGTGAGAGGGGAGGAGAGGAGCGGAGATGAGAGGAGCCTAGCAATTCAGAGAAGTTAAGAATCACTGTAACCCCTTCTCAATGCCCATGTCCTATCGGGATTCTGATGGAACAAAATGTCAAAGGAAAAACATAAACTAGACAACTAGAGAAACAGAAAAAGGACTGCACGTGGTGGTATGAAAACCACCACATGATTAATTTGTTTGCTAATGGCATTACAGTTATGTCTCAAAATGGAGTCTATTACTGACACATAGGTACAGAAACATTTATAAATAAAGTGAAGCCTAGGAAGTGGCTGCTGAGTGTGAGGGGAGACAGGATGGGGACACAGATGGAGCTGGATGGGGCAACAGCAGACAACTGCTGAACCTAAGTGCTGAGCTCAGTGCCTCCTTTGAGCCTCCACTGATGGGAAATGGGCTCCCTGGGGGCGGGACTGCTAAGGTTCAAATTCCGGTTGTACTATTGAATACCTCAGTGACCTCAGGTAGGAAATTTTTAACCTCTCTGAACCTCACTTTCCTTGTTTACAAAATGAGGATAATATTAGCTTGATTCTTTTAGAATTATATAAGGATTTTTACTGAGTTAATCTTTAATAGAGCCTGGCAAAAAGTGAGACAGGGAAGGTATCATTACTTATCCTTCCTGCTATTAAGGTCTTCGGTTTTAGGAAGGCTCTCTCTCTCTCTCTCTTTCTCTCTCTCTCTCTCTCTCTCTCTCTTTTTATTTGATAAATGAGGATACCATAAGATAACTTTCTATTTTATGGAGTGATCGTGAAGGTAAATGAGGTAATACGTATTCAAGTGTTTTGAACAAATTAAGAGTGTTCATGTGAGTATGACATTTTTCTCCTCATTGCATCTATAAGAAGTGGCAGGATAGGAATAAAAATCTGGCAGTACCACCACATTCATCTTTATCTGGAATTAATGTACACACACTGCGGAAAACAGCGTAGCATTGACTCAAATAACAGCCAATGTTCTATTATTTTAAGAAGTTTTCTATACATCTTGAATATGGTGGCCTGTGTATAAACACAATTTTGTCTAAAAACAGAAATAGTAGGACACGGTATCTATTTTCAGAAAGATGAAGACAAAGTCTTACCCTTTTGCAAACTAAATGTCAAGTGACACAGAATTATATTTAAGCGCCGTTTTAAAAGCGGGATTTGTGTCTAATCTTTCTTCTTTCTTTTGAATGTACAATTTTATTCAATAGCTTCAAACCAGTGAAAACCAGATACTAAATGCCTTCTAAATGAGCAGATTCTCCTAGGGGAAATGTGGAACAAAAGTCAGCTTCTATTAAAATGTTTCCTTTCTTTCTAAAAGCTGTTTATGCAACTACATGCAAAACAAAAATTTGAATGGTGTCATCTAAAAATAAAAGTTTCAAGCACGATGTTGGGCTCTAGTTTACCAGAGAAAAAGTTAAATCAACCATAACTGCTACTTTATCTTACAAATGCATTTTTCCTAGATTTATGCTAAATATTTTAAATATAGCTGACAGCATACTTCAAGAAAAGAAACAAATCATACATATAACAAGATGTCAAAAAGGAATAAAAGCATCTTGGAAATAAAATTCTAAGAGCAGAGACAGCCTTAAACCTCTTAAAATAGCTTAAAGAAACTTGGTAGAGAACCTACTTCATCAGATGTTTAAAAGGGTAGAGTCTCATTTATCTTGAGAAAATCCAGAACAAAAACTAAATATTCAATGGAAACCACGATTCTAGCCTGGACCACTTCTTCCTCTGGATTAGCAATTATGCCTTTGACAATTGAGACACTGATACAGCCCTTTTCTTTACCATTATGCTATAGTTTGGAACTTGAATGTCCCCCAAAGGCCTCCTGTGATGCTTCTGGGAGGTGGGGCATAGGAGAGGAATTTAAGTCACTGGGGGTGTTGGGACCTTGCTTCTTGTCTTTCTCTTTGCTTCCCAGCAACCACGAAGTGAGCAGCTTCCTCCTTCATATGCTCCCACCATGAGGTGCTATCTCACCACACGTCCAACAGTAACCTGCCCAACCAAAAATAGACTGAAACCTCTGAATCCATGACCCAAAATCAGCCTTTTCTCCTTCTCAGCTGATTATTTCAAGTATTTGTTATGATCACGGAAAACTGAATGACATATATGTACTAAAACCCAGATACTAAGAAGTTGGACTTCTAACCGGCAGTTTTTCAAGAGGTTTCTATTCTAGTTCAAATCAGCAGGAGATTGCTTTGTTCATAATTTCCTCAGGCAGGATTTTTGAAAGAAACAAAGGAAGGAAGGAAGGAAGGAGGGAAGGCAGGGAAAAAGGGAGGGAGGTAAAGAATGAAATTTCTTCTTTTCCAATGTTTTCCTTCTTGGTTTTCAAGAAACACTGTCACATTCGTTCATAAATTAACCCCTCTGAGCCTCTCACCTCGTGCTTGTCAGGAGCAATGAAGTTCAATTGGCAGTTGGAGTCGTACAAGATGGAGAAAGCAAGTTCAAGCACCTCCTGTAAGAGATAAGAAAACACCACACTAAGAAAACAGTCACATCCTGTTTGCACCTTGAACCTACAGGAGAGCCTGCCCCTTGCCCAGCAGGAGGAGCAGCAGCAGCAAGGAGGCTGCAGGCAGGAACGGCCATGCTTTTTGAGAGTCACAGCAGAGTTCTTTCTGCATCTAGGCAGATAGATGGCATGGGCCATCTCATGACAGCCCCCGTAGGAAGTGTCACCCTTGCCTCTTATAGGGTGGAGCTTGGAGACACAGTAATACCTCAGCTCATGAATGTTTCTGTTTGCAAACACTTTGGTTCAACAAAAGCAGTTGGCAAAATTTTGCTTCTATTCGTAAACTCCATTCCGAGTGACAAACATAACCTTGACCATGTTTCCTACACAAGCACAAACACAGCTATCTTTCCCCAAATTGTAAAACAAATTAAGTTGTAAACTGAGGTACCACTGTAGGAAGCCTACAAAACCCTGAAAGTGGATTCCACTTTCTTCAGCATTTACCTTCCAGGGACACATGGGAAAGAGTAAACCCTCACAATTGGGGAATTAAGGGCTTCGGCATAAACCTGTTCTCTTGATGTCTGCCCTCTGATCTTTCACTACTGTACGGCAGAGGATACACAGAACCCAGATTTTATTCACTAGTGGGTGCAGGAGATAAAGAAGCAGAGGCTCAAGGGACAGAAGATCTGGACTCATTCATTAGTGTCCACTGAGTGCAGACCACGAGCCTGACCCAGAGCATGGTGAACTAAGTACTTTTCATTTCATTGCAGCCAAGTGACTTTGGCCAACTCCTCAGTTTCATGTGTAATAGGTACACTAAAAACAGTTCTCAAGCTGCATGTGCTGCATGAATACTGGTTGCTATGATCATTCTTTGGGTCTGACCAGTCAGCAGGGTGGAGGCTTTGGGGGATGAGAGTCACAGTGCATCTTGTCACCTTAATGGTTGCTGAGCTGCAGGGAAAGGGACTGGATGGGGAGCAGTGCACGCCCAGGAACAGTTCGAGTGTAATCCATACCAGGGCTCTGCAATGTATCTCACACATTCTCTAGTGTTCCCACCTTCTCTGTACCTTTACTGGACCCTACTGATGACCCCTCCTCTCCTGTTGGGTCCTGGTGGGCTGTGCTTCTCAGCATTCACCCACAAAGCAGGAGATCTCCCCATATCATCCTCTACTGTGACCTTTATAGGAGGAGCTGCCTTTGGCCAATGACCCATGACACAAATGCTCCAGAAAGAAGATGGAAGGCAACAAGACGAGATCACTGCTTCCGGATTTCTGAACTTCGGAAGAATAGACGAATTCCTTCACAGTGAACTCCGAAGGCCCAGTGTTATCTGGAACCAGTCCCCACACAGCTCACCATTAAGCTATTTCTGGCTTCTGGGGGCATTCTCCTGACTGGGTCACCTGCTGCTGTCCCTTCACTAGGATGGAGCATCTTCTGTTGTGAGTATAGACCTTCCAGTGTCTCTCACCCAGATGGTCTCCTCACTCCGTTAGAAATAGAAACACTCAAAGGAAAGAGTGCTGAGTCACGGAACGAGAGCTATTCTGCAAAATTTTTTCTCACTTTTTATTCTTTTCCCCACTTAGGTGTCCACTGAGAACCACCCAGAGAAAATGACATAATAAAGGATAATAATAGGTAATAAAGGAGTGCACCAACACACACACACACACACACACACACACACACACACACAATTTTCCATTAAGCTTGGCATTTGTTTCTGTGATCGTATCTCTTGGGCCTCTTAATTTATAATTAAAATGCTCATGGCCCTACTAGTGGTACCAAAAATTGATATCATCCTTTAAAAAAAAAATCAATGCAGCAATACATATTAAAAACCAAGGATCCCATTGGTGAATTAATTCCTTAAAATAATTCAACAGCAAGCAAAAATTGCACATTATTATCTATAAGAAAATTATGAGAAACTAAGTAAATATTCTCCCTCCTTTGGGTATAAGGAAATCACCAATTACCAACTGAGAGAAATATATGTGGAAAGCCACTCAGCAAGATAATGACAAAGACTTGATGTTAGGTGAAAAAAAAAAAAAGCAGGAAAAGTGAGCAGTATGTACTTACTGGTGGTAATTATGAATAATGCCTGCCTGTGGACAGAGATTGGAAGTGAGCATGCAAGTTGAAAGTTGGATTAAGGCAGTGGGATAATGCTTTGCCTTAACCTCAGAAATTCATAAACATTGTTCTCAGATGAGGCCTGTATAACTGATGATTTATTTACTAATCTGAAAGTCATTCATCAGGAAAACTCTATGACTCATCTTCGAGAGTTTAGAGGGAAGGAGGAGGATGGGTTTGCTTTTGAACAACTAGTCATGATAGCAGAGCCGCGGAGGACCACTTTAGAGGTAAACAGGACTGGGTGAAGTTCATCCAGGTCTTTCTGGCTGAGCCTAGATGACAACTCTGGCTCTGCTCAGGGAAATCACATGGCCACTCATCACCTTGTAACAGCAGCTGGTGTGAACGCCACCACAGCCCGGACACATACTCTTGACTAGGTGCTGAAGTCACTCGAGACTGGCTGTCAGCACAGTTAGCAGTGCGACACTTTTTCTTCCGCAGAGGGGTGGAGAAAGGAGAGGAGGCAGGAGGCAGTCAGACTTGGGGCCTTGCCCTAGTGCGACATCTACCCATCAGAGTGGGAATGATCAAAACTGTTGTGACCCAGTTCCAGATAAACCCAGGCAAGAAGTGAGAAATTTGCGAGAATATCAGGTCCAACTTTAATTTTACTTGGCTGCGTGGAAGGGGTGGGAGGAATTAATTCTCTGAACCGCACACACGTGTACAAGGGTGTTATCACTTAGGATGAGTATTATGGCTGCCTTTGACTTTCTGTCATGGAGTCACCAAGGAGGTCACTCAGCAACACTTGGAGCAGAAAGCCTGAGGAGCTGAGAGCAACTGGACCTCCTGGGCCATCACTCTGGAAACTGCTGCCTGTCCAAGCTCCCTGTGAGGAGGAGAGGCCCCAGGTGGTAGCCATCAGGGTTTCTGGCCTCACACCACAGTGCTCTTTTTAACATCTAAAAAACAAGGCTTTGCTGCTCACCCTGAAGGTCTTTCATCCTCTCTGAATTTAACTTGTATTCCCCTGATGCCCACCTGCTACCCTGCCAGGTGGAGGGAGGTCGTGCATGGTTCCTGGGAGAGGGAAGGGGAGGAAGCGAACATCTCTCTGTACCCTGTGGCCTTTGAGCTCCTTCTTAACCCCTTGGTCCTGGGGCCAGGGACAAGGTGCCCAAGGTCAGGCGATGGTCACAGAGATGGCACTTTGTTTGGAAGATGTTTGAATGTGTGTTCTTTTGTGGGTCAAATGATGGACCAACAAGGTAAGAACAGTTTCACACAAAGTGTTTTCAGTATGTGGTGTTGGCTGCCACTCTCTACATTGTTTTGGGGTAACTAACTACGGTGGTTGCGGGGGGAGTGTCAACTTGATGGCTTTGGGATCCACTCATGACATTGGTGAGTACACTTCTGGATGTCTCTGGTGGTCATGGATGTGTGGATTTGAGGTCTCTGCCTTGGCCCTCGTCCCATGCTGCCTGGCACTGTTCCCCCACTCTGCTTTCCACTCTTTATGAACTAAGCAGCTTTACTCTACCATACCCTTCCACCATGATGTTCCTGCCTTTGAGCCAGCCAACCATGGACTGAATCCTCTGAAAATGTAAGCCAACTTAAAACTCTCCTTGAAGTTCTGAGTGTTGGGTATTGTGTCTAGCAACAATAAAGTTAATACAATTACCATTTTTGCCATTTTCCCAGAACTTAATTAACTGCACTGATTCTCCATCTGTCCAGGTCATCTTGAGGGCTGAGTATTCTGATGACAGACACAGGCTATTATTTGGAATGCATGTGGGTGTTAAATATGGCCATATGAAATAGGAGATTTCATAGCTATAGTACAGTGTTGCTCATCTTTATACCTGTATCCTTTAAAAGGCAAAATAATCACTCATTCATGCAGTATATATAGTAGAGATTGCCTTCTTCAAGCATCTACATCTTTCTGTCTCCAGTGTATTTTAACAGCATTATCAAACAGTGGTTCTCCAACCCATTTTATTCTTCTTATCTTCATCCATCTTGGAATTCACTGTTTCCCAAACAGAGGATGTGGAAAAACTCCATTGTTTCTCTGATTGGCCAATTTCTTTTCAAAACCAGGCTCAAGCACCATTTCCTTCATCAGATGCTCTCAACTCTCCCAAGCTATGCCTGTGCTGCATTTTTCTTTTAAGTGATGAATTATAGTTGCACATTTACGGACAAATCTTGTCTGTTGGATATCCAGGACCAGGGGTCGGATCATCTTTATCTCTAGGTTCCTAGTCCCTGACAAAAATACAATGCTCAATCGATTTGCTGAATGAATTAATGAATGAATGAATGGTGAAGAGAATTTGAAGAAAAGGCTTTTTGGTTAATATCAAGGACTTCAAGTTGATGCTAAAATATCATCTTCTAATACAATCTGTTTCTTTCAGGTTCGAGAATCACCCTGGCAAAACAAAGGCAGTTCTGGAACATGGGCAGAAGGTAGTGTCTCTCACATCGCATGTACTCTCATGTGAATCAGTGGGATCTGTGAGATCCGTCCTTTGGTGATTACACAGTGACTGTCAACTAGAGGACTGAAAAGTTGTGAGCCAAGTACCGAAATTGCCAATTTAAAATGTATATGAACAAGCCAACTTATAAATTACAGAGCTTGAATTTTTAAACAATTAGTCCTTAAAGCTAGAAGTCTTTTCATTGCATTTCTATCTACCCATGACAATATTTTAAAGTCTTGGTCAGGACTTTCCCTATTTCCCCAGAAATTTGCCTGTTACACTGACTTCTGGTAAATGTGGTGGATTCTGAGCTTCAGGAGGCTGGCCTCACCTGCCCTGTTCACCACTCCATGCCCAGAGCTCATCAGATCTTGGGGA